AATACAATCATTGTTGAACAATCGCTGCTGTCTGTAAAGAATGTCATCCGACAAAGATTGCCAACATCTTGTCCATACCTCCTCAGGTCTACCAAACGAACCAGAAACCAACAACGATGCGAACATGCGTCTTAGAGAGGCTGTGGATGCCCACTGACTTGCTTCCCATGTAGGAAAATTAGATAGCACGTGAAGAACCTCGGTATCCCCATTAATTATAACTTTGTAGTCTGCATTAGTAGATCAAAATTTACCAACGTTGATCTCTAGTTGGTAGTTGGTAAATATATAGACCCCACCCTCTTCAAGCAACCCAACAAATATAGGAAGACCACGAACTATACCAGTTATATACGTGTTCCCTACAAAACAAAGAAACATTGTTATTGAGATAATAAAAAAAATTAAACAATAATCAAAATATAATTTAAATGCAATACAATAATCTACCTCCATATCGTGGAAAACAATTTCCTAATTGCTTGGGTAGGATGCATGGAAAGATCTATTGAAAATACGAATAGCTCTAAGTTTAAGATTGAAGCTCATATTAATATTGAGCTGTCTGATCAAGCCGGATTGATCCATGACAATTATTTTTTGTTTACTGATTTCACGTGGAGAAGATTTTTTTCACACGATGTGAGGATTGATTGGCGAATTATTTGTTTTTTGGGTTATTTATAGTGGTAATAGGCGAGAATTTTAATTTCGATATTTTGAAAAAAATAATTATATGACACAGGATATGTATTAAATTATATGATATCTATGTGAATATGGAAACATATGTACAATAGGTAACTAAATAATTGTTGACGGGCGTTTCCGGTTAACGGTTAAAAAAGATAAATTGCGAAAAAGTAACGAGAAAAGACAAAAGAATGTGGTTTAATTACGATTTTATTAACTGATCACGAGGTTGGCCTCTCGTACGAGGTCGGAACTTGCGATATACTTGCAAATTCTTACACAAATTCCTTACAAGTTTAGAGAGAGAAAATGTAGAGAGAGTAGAGACAGTTGGGATTCAACAAACCAGAAATAAATGAGAGGGTTGCTATTTATAGTGCTCTTTAATGTGGTACTGTTCAGGTACTGTTCACCGGTCTTGTCGTACAGTGTCCTTGCAGGACAGTCCGGCACCTCCTGACAGAATTCAATGCGATTTAAGGTTTTTCTCATCATTGCCTGACAGGCATTTAATGCACACATGGGGGTCATTTAATGCTGGCAGGCTTTATGTCTTGGCTAGTGGGATTGTAGGTCTGCAGGATAGGACGCCCTACCCAATCACCAATGATTGCTCTCCAAGTGGCATTATTACATTATTATCGGGCCCAGCGTCCGTCACTGGGGGTCTGCTCTGAGACTTCAGGTCGGCTCCTAGTCCCGTTCCGTCCTTCCGGCTCCGGGGAATCTTCCTCCAGCCCGTCACTCATCAGGCCGGCACCGGTACGTAGATGTCACAAACGCCGGGCTAACAGACGGACCCACAGGGGTGTCAGGGTCAATCAATTTTGAAGTTCAGTTCGACACCTTTTCGCTCGACCAGGTCTCCGGTTCGGCTCTTGAAGCTGCCCTGTCCGGTTTCTTTCGGGGGCGAATTCGGATGTCAACAATAATCATTTGTAAATAATTTACATACAAATATTCGACAGAAATAGATTTTATTAGAAATTAATATTTAAATATTGTTATTGTTATTTAATTCATAATTTCAAATAGTTCAAGATATGTTTTAAATTAATAGTACTTATCTCATAGAATCTTATAGTATCAATTAGTTAATTTGAGATGTGGTCAAAATATATTAGTACTTATCTCATAACCTATAGTAGGCACGTAGAATTGAAAACATTCAATAAGAGCCGTGAGCTACATAATATTTTCGGCCGTAATTGTGTACTTATCTCATATTTAAATTCCAATTGTATAACACAAAATTCGGTGAAATAAAAAAATCTAGAAGTAAATCAACTATATAATATACCACGTGTAGAGTTTTTTTGATAGTCCATAGGTTTAGAGTTTGAAATCTATATATTTAAAGAGATTTAAGCAAAAGAGAATTGTTTATGACACTTCGTGTAATTTATTTTACTGAGATATCTCATTATCTAATATTATAATTTAATATATTATGACACTTTGTGTAATTTATTTTATATAATTATCTAATATTATAATTTAATCATTATAATTTAATATATTTTAAATATTTTCTTTTTTTGTTTGTAGGATAAACAACTTTTTCTACATTGTCGGCAAATTTTAATAAGTGTTTTTTTAGATATTTATATGTACAAAAAAAACAAAAATGTGATTGAACATTGTTCAAGCATGTAATGATTTTTTTTTCCCAAACCGATAGATAATATTATAAATCAAAATGCACAAATGTGCGAATACACAGCAGCCAACGACTGAATACACAGCAGCCAACAGCTGAAAAAAGTGGGAGGACAGGTCAGAAGACCGCCTAGAATCCCGGCTAGCAACGCTAGAATAAAAAACACTCAAAACTAAACTAACTAACAACACAAACAACTAAAACAAACTACAAGGACCCCAACAGGGTAATACCAGAGTGTCGGACCCCAACGGAGTAATAAGATTGACACCCGGCTCACAGAGGCCAAACGGCCCAAACCAAAAACACGATTCCTAAGCAACACACAATCAACACAAAACAAACTAAAACAAATCTAAACAAATTACAAATAACAAGCATAGCCCTTCCACAGCATAAAGTACGAGTCGAACAGTGGATCAATCAATTTCAAGAGAGATCCAAAGGCCCAGGAACCGCAACCGAAACTGCCTAACCGCCTAGCTGAAGCCGAACCTAAGCCTAGAATAGTATATTAAAATTCAGTATATTAAAATTGTAAATTATTAAAATTTGCCCACAATGTTCAATCACAGAACACAAATAAAACAATAAACAACAAAAACGGATATATATAAATAGAATAGTAAATGGAGTAATAAATTATTTTTTTTCCAACAAATTATAATAAACATCAACAATCGCTCAAAACGAAATAAAATAAAATTATTACAAATATTCAACAAATCATCTATTCAAATTCAAATTATAAAAATTCCTAAGAAAGCCATCCCTCAACCATATCTTGCATCTCGCTAGTATTGAAGAAAATTCCCATTGTAGCTAAATACATTAATCGCTAAATTAAGCACAAGCTTCCAATGGTTGGTTAAAAGGGCATTGTTCCTCCTTGGTTTACATCCAACATTATACCTTCGGATTGTATGCACTTCGCCTTGTTTGAGTACATTTCGAAATTTTTCCATACTTGGCGAGCGTACTATTCCAATGATGTATGAACCCTAGATTTGTTAATTTTCAAAAAATGGACAATAAATAATTAAACATGATATAAAACATGATATTTGTTATGAATAATTATTTTATTGACAAATCAATTAGAATAATTACCACTTCATCATGAAATAGGATGTGAAAAGCGTTTGGATGCTCCAGATCGTCATGAGTTTCCATCAGTAGGACTACTCTCAACTTCAAAAAAGGTTTATTGGATCTGTTGACGGTATCGATTGTATTAAAGAAGGGTGCCATAAAATTTTTAGTGTTCTTTGTATTTTGAAGTCGTCCGTGTTTTGATGAGTCGAATGAAAAAGGATATCAATGAATACTCTTTTATACACGGTGTATATGTATAGATGTTTATCTCATCCGATTTTTTTGAATGAATTTGTTAGAATAATTACTAAACACGATATTTAAAGGACATTCCGTCCAATCTGTACCAAACTAAATGCCTTGAAAAGTGGAAATAAGTTAGGTATGATTTAAAACAAAAAGGAAATCCAGAGAATTGTTAGGATAATTGCTAAACACGTGATATTTTACACTACAAGAAAATGATGAAATTCCAACGAAAATATACTCCAATAGAATTCCAACGGCAATTCCAATAGATATTTCAATGCTATTATTTCCGTTGGAATTATTCCAACGGAAATTCCAACAAAACTATTCCGTTGGAGTGAGTTTTTCATTGGAATTTTCGTTGAATTTTGACGATTCTAATGGTAGATTTTCCAACGGTGGTGGAAATAAAAATTCCGACGGAAATTGTATATTCCAACAGAAATTCCTACGGTTAAAAGCCGTTGGAAATATAGCCGTTGGAATCAACAAATTCCATCTAAAATTCTAATGAAAAATACATTCCAACGGAATATTTTCGTTGGAATTTCCGTTGGAATCATTCCAACGGAAGCTATACCATTGGAATATTCGTTGGAATTTCCATTGGAATATATTACCATAGAATTTTCCGTTGGAATATAACAATTTTTTTGTAGTGTTAGTGACTTCACACCAAACTAAATGCCATGATATTAGGTATGATTTAAATGACTTTACACCAAACACGTGATATTTCATACGATTTAAAACAAAAAGAAAGTCAAGATAAAGTTTATTAATTTTCGGATTTTTAAAAGACTTTCCACAAATGGGAAGTCAAAGCCTTTTTGACTAATTTTCTTAAACTTTCTCTAAATGATTTTTCTACCTCTCTTTTTCAATATTTATAGATTAGCTATATTGGTTGCAAGTTATTCAGATCGTTCAATTTACTTCGTCATCCATATTTATATGTAAATATAGAAAATGTTGATTAAATTTGCAATTACAAAATTAATTAAATGCACATTATTTCGTGTAAAAACTGGAAATTGGACGAGAGAAAGTATTATTTATTAGTCATTTGATGTGTATCATCTCTCTATTTGAACTGTATACAAAAAATCATACATACCTTTTTTAGTAACCACGCTCCTTTCTCCATTTGTAAGAATAAATCTTAAAAACTATTTTGAAAAAAAGTAGCCGTTATACTCGAGAACAGCTTGCTTTGCGGCGTGTTTAGCAACGTTCGAATTCTTTTTCGTAAACCCGTTGAAACTCCACTTTTATAAACCCTACGTTACTCCATCTCCTTCCGTCTCTCTCTCTCTCTCTCTCAAGAAGAAGAAGAAAAGCTCTCTTCGAGTTGATACCATCTTCTTCTTCGATTGTGTACAATCTTGATTTCGAATTAGATTCGTAAAGTCTTCGTTTCATTGAATTTTAACCAGAGAACGTTTGCGGTGAAAGGAGGAAGAAAATGGCCACAGCGAACAACGCCAACCACCAAGACAGCAACCCCAACACCCCCGCCGCCATGGTGGCGCCGGGAAAGCAGTCTGTCCCCGCCGCCAAGACCGTCGATACCCAGTCTGTTCTGAAAAGGTATGTGCTTCCAATGGAATTTATTTAAGAAATTATCTTGATTACGCTTCTCCGTTGTTTGATTTAGTGACTCCTGTCTGGTTTCCTTGTTATCGACTTCCATTCCATTTTTAATTTGTTGTATTAGGGTTTTCGATTAGCCCTTTTCTCAATTTCGAAATTGTGAAATTTTATCGGCTTCGCTTTAGATTTATTCCTTTCTGGTGTTTGATCTGCCTAATGATATTAGTATTTAGGAAAATGTCGGGTTCTCATTCTGTTATCTGCAGATTTTCAATTTCATATTGCTCTGACTCTAGGTGGGCATTTTGCTTTCCGGCAATTGTATAATTTAGCTTCCAAGTCCCAATTTCCCTCTTTTTTGTAATTGATTGTCACCTGGGTTCGACTTGTCTCATGCTTGAATTTTGTTTTTTTTCATCACCAATGTGCATATTCAATTTGTACTCGCTCAATTAGTTCAGTCGCATTTATATTTTTTGTGTATCTTAATCTTGTTAGGTTGACTTAGTGAACACAGGTTGCAATTGTATTAATTTGAATTCCAAGTATGATGTTCCATTTTCCCTGGGTTTGACTTTTCTGTCTTCGTGCTAATACCATTTCAACTTTTCTTGAATTTAACTGATCGTGAATGTGCTTATTCGATTTGTATTTGTTCAATTAGTTCAGTTGCATTTGTGTGTTTGCTGTGTATCTGAATCTTGTTTGGCTGATTTATTTGAACAGGTTACAATCAGAGCTGATGGCCTTAATGGTGAGAACTATATACAATCTTCCATACTCTCTCATTACCTAGTCCTTGTTATTAATCCAGCTTCTACAAATTAATACATAATAAGGAGTTGCCATTGGCTGACTTTGGTTTTCAACTTTCTTTTTCTCCCTATAAAAATCCACAGATGGGCGGGGATTCTGGAATCTCAGCCTTCCCTGAAGAGGACAACATATTCTGTTGGAAAGGAACCATCCATGGCAGTAAAGCTACAGTCTTTGAAGGAACTGAATATAAACTCTCTCTTTCATTCCCATCTGACTATCCTTTTAAGCCTCCTAAGGTTAAGTTTGAGACAGCTTGCTTCCACCCGAACGTTGATGTTTACGGGAATATATGCCTGGACATATTGCAGGTTACAATTTACTTATTTTCTATATTGTCTGCATAACATAATTTTTTCCCTTCAATAATGTACTGAAGGTTTAGGTTTGAGCTTTTTTGACAGGATAAATGGTCATCTGCTTATGATGTGAGGACAATGTTGCTATCTATTCAGAGTTTGCTAGGAGGTATTTTACCTTTGCATTAATGGAGAGTGCTTGAACTAAGTTTATCTGATTTGATTGCTGATTATTGTATTTGTATGTGTTATGTAGAGCCGAATATAAGTTCACCACTCAACACACAGGCAGCAGCACTTTGGAGCAATCAAGAAGGTGTGTATGAATTGATACTAGAGCAATTTATTAATTGTTTTAATCATTTTCTCTGGAAAATTGTTGAGACTGATTGTAGTTCTTGTCTAAACTGCAGAGTACAGGAAGATGGTGGAGAAATTATACAAGCCGAGTTCTTAGGAACTTCCTTACTCGATTGGTGTCGTCTGAGCCTTGGATGAGTTGAGAGGGAGGGCTCGGTTCATATGGTTTATTTGTTCATCATGTTCTATTCAATTCTTTTATTGTTGTAGGAGTGATCTCTTTTATTAGATCAAAGGGAAAAATATTGCTTTGAAGATTTATGAAGTTTTCAGTTTTAGGGAAAATATTGCTTTTATTCAGAGCTGAAATTTTTAGAAGTGTGTTTTGGCTACCCTTAATTCTGTCATATTTTCGTTGGCTCTGAAAGCTGGTGTCTGATTTTATGAGTTGATGATTGATGTTATTTGGTGTGTCGATTGAAATGCTGGAATTCTCCAGTCAACACAAGATTAATATCATACACGGCGACAAAAAAACAAACAATGCCCTATAAAATGAACAAAACAAAAACGAATAAAGAATCGAGTGAAACATATTTTTGCTTTCTCCAACAGTTGAGTGTATGATTTCTGTGCTTAATAAATAGCGAATTATCAAAATTCTCTCAGAACCATATCGTTTATCGTGTTTGATCCTTCTTCTATCAGCAGCCAACTTACTTCTTAACTATGAACTGAGACTACTGTGTGTATGTTATTAGATCAAATTTCCTTATGAGATTCAATAATCGACTCTAACACCATTTCGTCTACGCATTCAGACACGTTAAAACCACTGTTCTAATATCATTATCTTTGAATAATTAGCATTGTCTTTTGTGGATTTTGATTCATTCACATGGACTGATGTGGATATGTAAGGTCAGTGGAATCATACACAATTCTGTGCATTGGAGGATGAATATTGGTGGCAACTCCTTGTGAATGCTATGTGTCTTGCATTATGACAACATTATCCCTTGTTATGTGCCTTTTTTCTTGCTTGTCATCATATTCATGGCAAAAATAAAATAAAATCGCCTATCATTTAGTATATATAGTACAATTATACATTAATTTGGAAAATTCTGTTCTCATAGTAGCTATAATGAATATAAATTGACCATGTCGATATGTTTTGTGGTTTCAAAAGATATATATGCAGTTTCAAAAATAAAGAATGATATATGGTCCTTACAATACAGGGGAAACATTCCACCTTGACAATGAAGTTTCCCTATGCAAGTAAATTATAACTCTTTTNAGAAAAGTGCACATGCGATGCACATGGTGATGAATGTTTTTGCCGATAAAATTTAGTAAAAAAAAATGGCAGGTCACATGACAATTTAGTTCTATATTTTTGTCAAAATCCAATTTTCCACCCCGTCATTGACCACTTTCAAACTGGGCCCAATAATTTGATAACTTAATAAATTTGATCCCCTTTTATCTGAGATGGCGTGACGTGCCGACTTCATTTTCTTTTAATAATTTCAATGATGCTCAGTGTAAAAAAAATGGCAGGTCACTGGCAAGTGGGAATAATTGTCCCCATTTGATTTTTTAGTTCCTTTTACTGGGCTTCAATTTCTGGTTAGATACGACTTCCTTCACTGATTGGCCGCCAGAGTCCACCATGTAGTTGTCGGAATCAAAATGATTGTCACGTCACGTTTTTATCCAGGGTACGAATAAAAAAAAGACCAAAATTGATTAAATTATCAAATTATTAGACTCAATTTGAAAGTGATCAATGACAGGGTGAAAAATTAATAAATTTTTATCAAATTATAGAACTAATTTTGAATTTTGGCCGACTAAATTGAAAAATCAACTTATCTTTTTACACTTCACCCCTAATTCATGTTTCAAACCTAAACATACCATTGTGTTACAAAGTAATTAGATCATGTGTTAAATATGAAATACCACGAGGAAAACATATTAATCCTTTGCCAGCATAACACCTTCAAATATAAATTTCAACAATTTACATTTTTTAACTGTTTCAAGTAATACTTGCCTAATTAAGTTTATAATAATGTGGGCGTGTGTCCAGGTGAGGATCTCAGCACCACTATATTTGAACAACGTAAGCTACTTGCACTCAACCTTTGAAATTTAGTTGGGCTGCAAAAAGACACTTTTAGCCCTTCAACTTATCCAAATATAGCAGTTATTATTGGCCATTTGGCCAGGGAAAATGTCCCATTTTATTCACCTGATATATTAACCAATAAGATGCAAAGAACAAAACCAAGAATTGGCCAGGGAAAATGNTAGTTTTACCAATTATTATATAAAATATTAAAACTTTAAGATCATCGAAATAAAGTTTTATAAAACATATTTTAGTGCCCTAATCTATTTACTCTATTTGACTATGACTACTCACCTCCAAATCCAAAAATCTAAATAGAAAATTTGATTTTTTTTTTATTATTATAAAGTTTCACAACACACAATAAAATAGATGTGTATTAATTCAAAGTACAAATCTCGATAATTATAATTCAATTGCTGATAGGTTCCAATCCTGTCCAAAATATCACTTTACTTCTTTTTATTTTTATTTTTATCGCTCTGTTTTTTCTTAAAAACTTAATGTCAAATATTTGTTTGTGAGAAATGATATAGGTACATAATAGTGTACATAGAGATGTACATAACACTCACATCAAGTAGACCACACTTCATACGAGTGTTACGTACATCTCTATGTGCATTTATTATGTACGTGTAACATTTATCTTTGTTTTTATATTAGAGTTATATATTATGCTAATTGGTCACATACTTATTGATGGTCATTTCCAACCAAATAAGTATACACTAAAAATTGCAATATATGGAATTTGGCAAGTCTAATTTTAAAGGTATATTTGACAAATTAAACTGAATGAATAACATATTCATAATTTAATTGATAATTTTGATATCATAGTTGATAATTGGCGGGTTATGTAATGACATTTATTGGTACTCATAAGTGATATATTTGCTACCGATCAAAAAAAAAAAAAAAAAAAAAGTGATTTAATTAAAAATAATGGATTTTTTGAATTTGATGCATATTCATTCACACTCAAATAAACTTAACTTTACTTAGTACTACTTAATCGTGATTTTTATTAATTTTTGGTTATTTTAATTTAATTGACTTTATTACTTGGAAAGTAAAATAAAAGCTTGCGTTTGGAACTTCGGAAGAGCATAATTGCCATGCATGGCGGCCATGGCCCCTTCAACATGCCTATTATGATCTCTTGGAAAAAAAAGCATTAATATTTTCCTAAACATAAATTCTTAGGTTAGGCGGTTTAATTTTTTATATATATTTAAATATTATTTTATTAAAAGGACAAACTTATATTATAAGATGACATTTTTATTATTTTAATAACAGTACATATTTAATATTCTTAATTAATTAATATCGAAAAAAAAAGTAGAGTTATCCACTCGAATAATATCCATTAAGTTGATGCGTTATTGTCCAAAACCAATGCTATGACATGACAATAATAAGACAATTAATTGAGTGGGAAGAAACATATCATTATTTATTATATAACAAAATACATATTAAAATAATAAAATATATTTGGTGTCTGTTGTTCAACAGTCAATTCCTTGTGACAAACAGTTCAACACACCCACTTGAAAATCATTAACACAAACAAACAAATACAAAGAACAAATCAACTCTTAGTAATTACTTCAAACTTCAGAGATATAATAATATAAAATTATTTGTATCTTTTTATCCTAAATACCCTGATTAAACATTTAACTACGAACAAATTGGTTACAATGTAAATTTGGAGTATGAAAAATGAGTATAAATATATAATTCTTTGATTTGTTGCACAAGTGACAATGAAACTCTTCATATGTTGTGTGGTAACTGAGGAAAATAGTAGAAATCGAGGCCCGATTGTGCAAATTGAGCTGAATCAATTATTGTGGCCATGGCATCTGTGTCTGTACTGGAGTTGTAATAAGTGTTAGCTGTGGTGAGCCTCCTCGAAAGAAACTGAATTTGAGAAAGAAAAAGATACAAAAAAAAAAATTAAGTAAAGTTGAGATCAAAAGTATTTAATTTGCATTTTCTTATTTGTGTTCTGATATTAGTAAAAATTAGTAATTATATAATTACCTCAACTTGACCTTGCAATGACTGAACATAACTGATAATCTCATCCAGCATTACTGCCATTCCCATTGTCTGTATCGATTTGGGAAAGCAATTCAGAACGATTAAATCGAAATCCGAAAAATATTTGTTAAGAAAAAAAAAAAAATCAAAGACAAATTATGCCAAGAGGATAAAGTAATTACCTTGTAGCATCCTGGGACAATGTCTTTCAGACATCGCAATCGCTCGTTGATTTTTCTTCTTCTCACCTGATTCATCCAGAAAATTATTTTAATTTAGTATACGAAATGTCAAAAACAAATTTGTAATAAATTCAGGGACTATATAGAAAGTTTTGTACATACTCTTTCTGCTAAGCTATGACTGTCAGTAGCTTCGCCTCTTTTGGCTCTAACATGAACAACTTCCCTCGGCTTTTCTTCTTCAGTATTTTCGACTTTCACTTTCTTTCCTTTTCCAGCACGCTATAATTAAATACGGAAGGAAAAAAAAAAAGCAGTTCAAACTTGATTAGAGAAAAATAATAATTTATTGAGGTGAGCTAGAAAAAAAAGAAAAGAAAATGGAAACTCACTTTTGTCGATTTATTTGCATAACTGCTTTGTGGTGTGTCCATTACCGGTGTTTTCCTCTTCAGGTCTTTACGATCGACCTTTGAATTCACGGGCTCGGTAAAAGAAGTTACTGCAGTAATTTCATCAGGGATTGTAAATAATCCAGGGAATTTTTCCAGGTTTTGATCAGGGCCTTCAGATATTAAGTGGGGAAAAAAATTGCTGTCACTCGGAAAATCGAACGGGCTACTAAAAGGATTCGGGCCAGGAAATTGATTCGAGAATTCGATGCTCGGATAAATATCTGGAAAAGAGAAAGACTGTCTCATGTTTTGCAAGAACTGATCAGCCATTTTTTTCAGTTTGAAAGAGAAGTTTTTTTTTTTGTTTTTTAGATTTCCTTTGGCTTTGTTGTAGTTAGTTGGCTGTTTTTCTTTGTTGCTAGTAAGGATTTGTGTTTGAGATTGTGATCACCATGCATGTAATATAAATATATATAGGCAAGATTGGAACTTTATAGATTTTATAACTACTCTTAATTAATTACTAATTAATATAATTAATTTGTTACTTAATGAAAGGTAATGAGATTAGAAGGTTCCACGTGGCGATCTGGGTCGGTAGGATTTACTTTCCCTGAGTTGTGTTCAGGGGACAAGTCCAAAAAAGCATTCAATTCTCAAGTGGAATATTGTAGTATATCATATGTGAGAAAAGATTCAATTGTAGCTGGAGATTATTTATTTACTCTCAAGTAATTTAATTGCATCAAAGCTACATTTATAGCATGATAAGACAGTGCTGTAAAGTCTGAATACAATGTGCTATAGCTATTTCTCTAAATACAATGTGCGAAAAATAAGACAAATAGGAAGGATGCTAGCTACATTTTTTTTTTTCTTTTTTTATAATTTTCATTTTAATTTTGTTTAATTAAGATTTTATCTGGTTGGACCAGTGTTTTAAAACGCGTGTAGCGCAACGCGTCGCGTTTTGATCTTTATACTGCGTAGCGTAAATAGCGTTGCGTGTTGCGTAAGCTATTTGAGTATAAAAAAATATTTTTATAGAAATACTATAAATATATTTATATATAACAAAACTAAATATTATCATAATATTTGAATGATAAAAAAAATAACATCTAATAATTATTTTTCACAAATATTTAATGTAAATATCATAATATAAATCCGAGAAGATTTTATCTATCCTGTGGAGGTCTCCCTTGCCGAAGGATAGACCTAAAAAGTAAAAACAAACAACTAAAATATAAAGAATTAAGTCATGGTTTTATTTTAAGTATATTGATTTTAATTATTATCTTTATTTAACTACAACTTAATTCTAACAACTATATATGAACATTTTATTATTTATTTAAATATTGTATATTAAAAATTAAAATGATATAATAGAAATAGACCGATAAATATCTTACTATTCAACTTAGGACTTTGCATTTTTAAACTTTTAATTTAAAATCATTATCAAAAGTTTAATTTTAGTTGTCATTTGAAAATATTACTCTAATCTCTAAAAAATACAAGTTTTGGAATATTTTATTGTTTCAATATCGTTGCAGAAATATAGCGCAATGTAGCGCACAATAGCGTGAAATAACGCAAAATAGCATAAAAAAGCGTGACATTTAAGCATTTTGTGTAAGCTTTTCAAAAAAAACGCTAAATATATAACGCCACGTCGCGTTTTTTAGAAAAAAAAGCTACATAGTGAGCTCTAGCGACCTATGTTGCGAGCTATTTATAACAATGTCAATCTGAGCGGACGAGGTTGGCTCCGTTAACGGAGTCTTGCATGGAGATCTTAAGAATGGGTATCTCACTTCCATAATTTTATTCCATATCACGTACCAGAAAAAAAAAAAAAAAATGATAATTTCTCAGTATGAACAAAACAAAATAGATAAAATTACTAAAATTAAAAACAGAAGTTACAGCATTTTTTTCTCATCTAACTTATCAAATTATAAATTTATCATTTGTGTACGCAAATTTTAATGCCAAATTGTAGGTATACTGGTGTTCGGCAAAACTTCTCAAAATCCACATTTCAGGACTCAACTTCAAATTCTAAACCGAACATAAAGATGTTCAAAATAGTTCAGAATACCAAAATGGTAATCCAAATTCCAAAAAAGAGCTGCACAAAGAACTTGAAAACTGGTACACAATAAACTGGACTCATGCAAGATTTAATATGCAAAACAAAACATGCCAAGCGTGAGATTACTTTACCCGATAAAAAATGTATAGCAATTGAGAAAATATCATAAACTGTTCATGAAGTTGCTTCTTGCAAATCACATGATGACACAAATGGGAATGTCGACAATAAGAACACCTATAGATGATTTATACTCTCCGTTTTAACAACTGCTACCAATTAATGCTAGGTAATGCACATATGTTGTCTGCAGAAGCTAATAGACATTGTTAGGAATAAACAAGATTGAATGATATACTGTAAATCATACCCAGTATCATTCCTTCTAACTTATATCACGTCTAAAAATGTTAGCATTGTTGGTATTCTTGAAATATTTTCAATAAATATGATATACAACACATATTTGTCAAAGTTGAGGACCCCAGTTCATCTTCGAAGCATTACCATCCATACTAGAAGACACAAAGTTAGATGGAATAAGAGTTAAAAGAACTCAAACCTCATTATATGTGAAGGAGCAGATAATGGTTTAGCTTTGACCAACTTCATGTAGCAAGCCTCCATTTAATGCTTTGACTTCCAGCAATATCGTCATGTTTACACACCAGGAATTCACTGTAATGCACTTAATAGAAACCCAACACAATAAGTAGCAAACTAACTGTTACTCGTAGCTAGCCACACAAGATTTCGAGTTTAACGTTCAAGCCACAGCTTTGCGTGCAAGGCATGGTGAGTTAACATATCCAAACACTCTAGCAATATCCACCAAAGAAAAAAAATAATGAAGAACAGAAGCAGTTGCTTGAAGTAGAAAGTTTATTGGCAAAACATGCCTTTGAAGTCTAAGCTGAAGACATCAGTGGATATATCAAAATCCAAAGCACCAAATTGCTGTTCTTCCTAACAAAACAATCTCTTTCCCCAAACTCCCAAGAAATAGAGTTGAACATAAATTACCCAAGTCATCATTAATTTATGAACAATAATAATGTGAACGAAAAAAAACTACTACGCATCAAAATTGTACACTTGCTGTTAAGTAACCAAATTGTGAGAATTGTTTTGCAAAGAACAAAAGATAGTACATAAAAGAAGAGAAGAAAAGGTCTCACTCTCTCAGGCAACTTGCATATAAGTCTGGAGGGGAAATCTATCGCTAATCTAGGAAGCAAACTTACAACTCGACTAGAACCAATAAACTAACAACGAAAAATCAAGAGATAGATTTTTAAAACTAACTGCTGGACTTGGAACCACTCATTATATTTAAAACTAAAACAAAGAGAGGGTGGGTTGCAACAACACTAAAACACTCGAACAGCAATCCATTTGGAATGTAAATCAAGCATGTAAGGAATTAAGAATCAATGTACTATATCCATATAACTATTCTGCACAATATAAAAACACATCTTCCAGAGTGAATAAGTTGATAATTACTTGCTCTAAATTTAACGAAAATCATCTAAATGAACTTTTTAATGTCAAATGATATATCAAGAATTCTAAAAAGGTTTTACATCTGTACTATAAGCACAATACCTAGTACAAGGCAAAAGGTATGACTCAAATCTAATCTACAATTTCCTCCCCCACAAGCAGCAACCGAACTATTGTTTTACAAACCATACTACACAAAGTTATGAGTTAAGGGTGAACATTCAGCTAGCTTGACTATGCCCCAGAGGAACAATATAATCACTTCTAATGGCCTTCGGTGCCTCCTCAATAAATACCATGTTCAATTTAACAGTTACCAAGTCAAATCTTCTCACGCAATATGAAGTCTATCTTTTCTGGTCCTACTCAGGCACACAGTCTCAGATGGCTGCTTTCCAAATTAACAAACACACCTTCATCCTTGGATTTACTGTCTGAATGAGATTTCGGACATGGGGATCTGTCAAATGGGGTCAGTCAAACAATTGGACTTCTCCATGGTGCATTCAGTATCGGTCTTCCTTTCTGTAATTAGTCCGTCCTTATTTTCAATTGGACAAGGATGAGGGCAGAGAGGAGGCCGTTTATGCAGACACAAGTGGCACTTGAAGCCAATAATATTTTCAATCTCACCAGCTCTAGGATTCAAAGCATCAAAATGCAACCAAACTGCATACAAGAAAAGGTAATCAGAAACAGGTCCTGTTAAATAAGAAGCATATTTCTATATTTTCATTTTATGTCTTCGCCAGAGGTAAATTCCATAAACAAAATGTACTTTGTGAACAAGATGTATAGTAATTTATGTGGATGTGTCGGATAACAACCATGTACAAACTTTAAAGAAGAGACAATTTACCAAACGTAAGAGTCAATAATCGGTACTAGTTTCTCCTAAAGAAAAAGATCTATTACAACAGTGAGTTCGTAGCAGAATTTTCATATACAACACTTAAAAGAATGAAAATGGGTGTCGCGAAATAAATTTGAGCTGTACTAAAACATGTTACCTCCACAAAGTTCACAAGCCACATAAATCAAGTCAGATTTATGCTCCAGTTCGCCACAGAGGCTGCATTTTGGGTTATAGAGTACAGAAGTCTCCTCCCCAGGAAGCACAAGAAGCGTCCTACTCCTGAAATGCATCAACCTTTCATCATTTTCCTTTCTTGATAACTGTAGACCGTTCAACCAGTAACTGCTATTGGCAGGTGTCCTCTTCTTACAACTACTAATTTTGGGCTTCTTAGATGAGCCCTTTTCTGATTTTGACTGTTTTCTCCTCTTCCGTTTTTTCACCTTAGTACTCCGCAAAGGTATCTTCGCAACACGTTCGGCATTCCTCGCAGATCTTCGCAAAGGTACTACCGAAGGAACCCCTTCAGGGTTTTTAGATTTCACTTTTCCCTTTACTCTCCCCATCTTTTTGCCTTTCTTTGACCATAATGACTTCAGTCGTTTTGATGTTTTTTTAATTATTGAAAACTGAGATTTCCCCTTCTTTCCATGAGCTTTCACAAGCTGACCACTCAGGCATTTATGGCAAGTAAATGTACATGCAGATATAGAGGACCCAACAGATTTCTTTACATGCCTTTTATGGAAAAAGCCTGAAATTGAAGTAACTGTAATTAATATATGCATTTGTACAACGAAAATGCGGGTCAAACATGCAACATTATCAACTAGCCAAAATCTAGAGAAGAGAAGAATTAATCTGAAGGTAAAGAACTTAAACATTAGGAATTCTATCATTTGCCAACTTAATGATGCTTGCTTTCAAGTTTCAATAATGTGAAGGGAGAATCTTGAACGAAGTGTACTATAAATTCCCCACATGCACATGCACACGCACACACACACAGTCAAATGGCGAGCCAACAAATGTTTGCATCAATAAATTGACCCAACAATAAATCGATCGTTTTTTTATTTGGTTGGAAGAAAAATTTTTAGAAATATGTATAGTGAGAAATACTCGAGAATGTCTAGCATAAAGATTATAGGTTCAAAATGATAAATCTATGTCCTAGAAAAAATTGTCTGATTTTACCGGGAGGACATCAAGATGTCATACCTGCTGTGTCTTAGCATATGTTTTCACATTAATGTAAAAGAATAATTAAAAACATAAAATTTAATGGAAAAGAATAATTAAAAATATAAAATCGAGGAACATATCAATGACTTATAATCAGTTTTGGACCTTATCCTATATTTTCTTTTGATAATAATTTTGATATGTATAGAAGTGGTAGACTGATCGTCTCAGGTGCGCCTCAGCACATGGTTGTGACAGAGACACGTAAGGGTGTTGGAGTTGTTTTGGAGATCAGGTTATTATCTTTATTTTGTTTACTTCCTGACATTCAGCTATGCTATTATTGATACTCCCTCGAGTATATAACTATTATCTACGTGTTCCACTAGCACTGTCACTATTATTTTAACTAATTGCTCGTTTATTTGTTACCAAACCATCATGGCTTTTCGTTTTAACAGAGGTCACTGGTTTTTTTGAGGGCTTGATCATTGTAAACTGCAAATTTATTGATTTCACGGAAGATCCATTACCATCCAGTTAAAAGTCAGTTTTTTCAGAACCTAGGGGTAATGTAAGCAGTCACAAGAAAATACCAAGACCAACACAATAGAAAAGCCTTAGCAAATTGAGGCGTATACCTTTACAATGATGGCAGATAATAGCCTCCCTGCAAATCGAGATAAGCAGCTTATCATTAGCATCGTTATTTAAAAAATACTAATGAGCGGAATAGATAAAAATTAGTGTAAGGCAAGAATACACTCCAACACCATTTGAATGAAGTAAAATACCGTCCATACACGTTCTAGCAAATACAGCCAAAAGAAGTCATTTAAAATATGCACAATCACTAATTAGCTAGTAACCTGATTGTTGTCTTTCTTAGAAACTAGAAACATCATCAAATACTTCAAGAGATAAATTATACGAGTCTAGAACATCAATTCTTTGCTAATAGTATTGCAAGGTCCTCAGGGACTACAAACCATACAGACAATAAACCCAATGTTGTACCTGACTAGAACATTTTTCTTGCACTGCCCACACTGATAATTCTCTGGTCTCTCAGCTTTCAAGAAGAGATATTCGAATCCTTTTTTCTCGACAGGCTTCCTCATTATTCCCCTGCTCTCATGAAGTTCTCCAGAATTCATCTTATTAGATTTACGAGCAACTCTTTTCTCCTCGAAGGATTTCAAGAGATGCAATGGCACATGAGATTCTTCCAGCCAATATCTTTTCTTTTCATTTGAGAAGTCTTCAAACATGGTTCCATGTTTCAGAACTACATCAGGGATAAATCTTCTTTTGCCAAAATCCAAAAGATACCTGACCACTGATCCCTCAGAGCATTTCCTACGGATTATAACCTTTTTAAATGACTTGACAGGTTTTTTTATGTCTTTGTCTATCTTGGAGATAAGGTTAGACTTCCAAATATCAATCCATCTAATATTTGCGTCGAGCTCCCTGATCTGCAAACACCAAAAGTACTTACGACCATTTCCTTTCATAAAATACCAGCAAGAATTGCAAAGCTATCATCGATTCCAATTTTCCTCCCAAATTGATGAGAAAACTTCTATTTGATAAGCAGACAATGGTAAGATGTAGTATTTAGTTTCCAGAATCAAGAATCAAGATGAGTTGCTCGTATAGTGATCATTATGTAAATTAACAATTTCACTAGGAAATACAAAATTTGGGGATACAACAGTCTTGTTTCATGCAGACATCTTTCTGTATTTAAAACAAGAAAAACAAAAATAAGATAAACATGCCTGGAGTGCCAGCTGCTCCACACTCGTCGATGTCTCAACTGCAGCTCTCCAAGAAGCAGATTTAGTACGCTTGGCATATTCTCCAATCTCGGGGTATAGTACACCAGGTATCTTCTTGCCTCCACCTATTTGATATCAAACATAGCAAAGTAAATATAAATTCCATAAAAAATGATAACAAGTTTAAACAGAATTATATACCAGTATCTTCAGACCTTGTCGGGCAGCCTTCGAAACCTGAGTGCGAGGTAAAACCTTCCAACTAAATAGCATACGCGAACCCCTTCCACCTCTCCACCAGAATAAACTAAGTCCAGTGGCAGCATTTGAAGATGGAGTAATCCCCACCTCAGAAGACTTAGCCTTCTTCCTGCCAACGCCATGTTTTGGGGATGCTCGAGCAGAACTGCTGATAATATGAGAAGCAGAGCCCATTGTAACAACAGAATCGACATGTTTTCGCCAGTCATCAGAAATTGCTAGATGATGCAAATTCGACTCGAGCTGGTACCATAAGTCAACAAAAAAATCAGACAAGTAATACAAGGTAAAGAAAATAGAAGCACAAACTATATTTTGAAGAGGGGAGGAAAGAAAGAAGCTCCAGGATAAGGTTAATGTTTTAAGTATTATTTCCTTTTGTTACTTTCCTCAAACCTTTAAACAAATATATCATTTCAACCCCATAATCTGGTACAGGATAAATATAGATGAGTAAGGCATAAAAAGGGTTACGTTGAGCAGCAGCATCTTCAGCGGAGCCAAATCGACCACTTCAAGAACACTTTTGCGCCATAGCAAGGAGTAATTTGGATTTAACCATGGACCTAAAAGAAGACCCTGCAGATGACCTTCCAAGCATATGATATGGCACATGATGTCAAGAATATGGTTCTTCCTCTCTCCAGACTGAAGTTCAAAAATCTCGCATGTAAAATTCTCTACAGCTGGAATAGCATCATTCATGATAAATAAGCAGTCCCTTTCATCTTCAGGAAACCTGCAAAAGAAGCACCAACCACATCTTTCCTTCCTGGATTTCACATTTGATTTCTGAATATTCGACCAAGAAAACTCGGCAAATCTGTTCGATACAACCTTCACCTGTCCTGCTATAATTTCTTCAACAGTTTTTAGGGTAGCTTCAGAGGTCTTGCCAGATGATTTACTAGTGAATTCTTCATAAAATGATGATGCTGTTCGAGCTAACTCATAACAATTGGCATATTTACTCTGGCAATGCACTGGAGACAACACTTTGGAGTTTATACTGTCGGGTGCATAACTATGATTCTCTGAACCAAGATTCTTCTCTTTTTCTACATTTACAGAGGTCAAAGTCATGTGATGATCTCCACCATCCACAGGCTTCCCAAGAATATGACAATCGTTCAAACTTTCACGCTCTCTCGTCGAAGAATCAGGACCTTTTTCCTTTGAGGTATCAGTATTTGAGAATGTCTGCATGACATCATTTGACCCTTCAGAACTTGCCACATGATTTTCCATTTTCAATACGTTGTTGCCACTCTCCAGCATGGCTATTCCATTCTTTGCATTATCAAGTTCTGTATTATTGGAAAAAGTATTTCCAGTACTCGCCACGGACATTTCATCAGACCTCTTTTCAGCAAAAAACTCATTCTTGTTAAGAAATTCTGATGGTGCCATATCTCTATTTTGCAGCTGCCCTTTTTCAGGAAAAGTTGACTGTACAGAACAGGAACGCAAGTCAAAATCATTTTTGGGCCCACCTTCTCCACGAACTACATTCCAATGCTCACATATCGCACTTATAATAGAGTCATAAACAAATGGGGCTGACTCCAGAGCTTCGATAAGGGCAGGCAAGTCATTTTTATTGTAGCAACAAAACGAATATTCTTCATTACATGATTCCAACCTGCAGGCAAACAGTGCAAGTGGAAGGTTATATACAATGCTACAATTACATTTGAAATGAGCTCTTCAGCATATTTATGAAACCAAACAAACTATAATCTTTTACAAGCACAATAAATTTAAACGAGGTAATATGACTACTCTACGTCCTTGTAGGCAATTCAGAATTTAATGAAATATGATATACATTTAAAAAATCGTATCAGAGTAAAAATAGATTAAGATGGTGGGGTATTCAACTGAATGGTGGGTGCAATTATTTTTTAATTTCTCGTAATAATAGTTCCTAAAAAGAGAAAATTCACACTTTTAAGATGCTACAAATTCAGGTCCACGTAATTTGCATTTGTTATAGTTATTGCATTTCTAAATAAAATTTTTGACAGAGTTGACATTACAGAAATTATTAATGTATAATTTTAAATTGTGGCCGTGTTCATTAACTTGCCTTCTAAGCACTGTTTCCCTCGATCAAAATTAATCCCCACCAAACTAGAAACTCTATATAAGAAGATAGCAAATTTTCATGTATACACCCGCAGCAATATCTCCTATGCATTAAACTATTACTAATCCATTCACTGCCAATTCACATGATTTTCTTAACTAACTCTACAAAAAGAAACTTACACCAACAGGTAACCGCAGCTACTATAAAACATCCGTCCATAAAGATCACTCCCCAAAAGTTGTGCTCCTCGGGTTGACTTTTCCACTTTCATCCAAGGCTTATTTTTCTCGATGGCACATTCAGGACAATACCAGTCGCCCTCAGGCAAAAGGCTGCTGACAACACCCACACATCTCGAATGAAATGCTGCAGGGCAACCATCACAGCATATCAAGCTCCCATCCATCTTACAAAGGCAACATTCATCACTATTCCAATCTGCAGGTTCCACGGCATCCTCTTCTGTGACACAAGACGTGCTAGCAACATCCATGGCAGGCTTTCTTTTACGAGAACTCTCGAATTTCACATCACGGGCCAAATCCATGTGGTATTCTGTTGCCGACGTCCTTCTGCTCAGTTCTAACCTAAATGCCTCTACTTCAACGACATCATCACAAAGATGTTGCAGTATCTCGAATTTTGCTGAGACGGGCAGTTTGTAATAGTCATTCAGAAGAATCTTCAAGTGACGACGATCTAAGCCAGGAATATGCCCAGGGCTGTGCAGTAATAGATACTCAACTGCAAACATCGGCCATGTGATCAAGTCGAGAAGATCCCAATTAAGAGACCTGAATCAACGATTTCAATTTGAGAGTAAATAAGTACTGTGGAATGGACTTTCAAATGTATACGATTATAGCAAGAAAAACTTGATACCTTAGACAATTGATTGCCGACACAGAACCTTCATTGGAGAGTGACTCAAGATGCTTTCGTAAAGTTCTCAGAAGGGCAACGTGAATCGAGTCGAATAATAATGTCGAGTTTGTGCATTTAACACTAACCACAAAATCGTCCAATTCAAAGGGGCTTAAAAATAACAAAGTGCTAAATGACCTCAAGAATGCATAAGCAGAAATTAAATCGACCACAGGGACTCTGCCTAGGTCCAGGTTGCAAGAAGGCCGTGGCAGCTCCACTTTAGGTGAAAGAATAACAGGACAAGGAGCTTTCCGACGAGATTTTGTCATTTTCTTTTCTTGAGACATGAAACTGATCTCTGGAGAAGGCAACTTTTGATCAATGTCGTCTAAGTCTGCTGCATTAGAGACTTTATCCGAATCAGACAAAGTTTCTCTTTTTGCTCTACGGCTGCTCCTTCTCAATCCTGTTCCTGGAGTTGGCAAGGGAACAACAACATTCTCTGATACCTCTCTTATCTTCCTAACTCTTCTTCCTCTAGTAACAACTCCCGAAATTCCATTTTCATAATCAACCAAATCATCACCTGTTTTCAATGGAGTTCCTTCCACACTATCCAACTCTGGTTCCAAGTTCCCATTTTGTGGCTTTGGGGTGGATACTTCAATATCATCAACCGAATCATCTTTTCTCTTTCTACCCCTTTTCTTCTTTTGTGTAGCCACAATTCCATTATCGACCCCAGAAACACAGTTCCTCATTGGGCTATCTTCTTTTTTCTCTAAATTAGCACTATGATTTCCGCTATCCATATTCACTAAATTTTCCTTGATATCATGCTCAGACAAACCTTCGCTCACTTTCATCTTTCTTTCAGCAAGAAAGCTTTCATTTGCTCCCTTTAGCAGCTCACATTCTTCCATATTCCTCATCTCATCCTCAGTCAACTGTAAATTTAGGTCAAAGCAACGCCCTTCTCTCCCATCAGTCAACTTCTCGCAATCTTCACTTGCATCCAAATTCAGATCAATAATTTCTTTTCCTGAAATCCAACTAACATTATTCAGACAAGACTTCTCATTCAACTCCAAATTCACACCCTCGTTCAAATCGAAGCCACGTAGGTTTCCCTCAGCAACAGCCACATTGACCCCATGATCCTCGCTGCTGATAGCATTTAACGCATCAACATTCAAATCCAATCCTCTATTCGTATTCAAATCAAAAACCCCGGGGCCCGCCTCTCTAGCCAACAAATTCTCACCAACCCCACCCTCAATTTCGGGATTACAGTTATCCGTACCTTCATTCACAATGCAGCGTCGCTTTTTTGGGCGGCCTCGTTTCCTGATCGGAGCCCCAGACGGCGGCGGAGGTGGAGACTCGGTGGACAGCATGAGAGAAGAAACGTTGGCGAGCTCCAATTCTTCAGAAACTCCACCGTCGTTCTCTATCTTGAAAACCCCAGTTGCCGGTTCGTACGCCTGAACCAAACCGAAGTTCGTCCCGTGGCCTTGGAACTCCTTCGTCACCCGTCTGCCCACATACTCCATTGCTCAGTTTCACATGAGTTCAAAAGATAACACGAAAGAAACGAAAGAAGCGAAATTGAATCGAGGAAAAAAAATAATAATTCGAAAACAAAACCCCCAAGTTAATCGATCTGCCAAAAGCCCTCGCGACTGCAGGAGAGAGGAAAAAGAAAATGTCGGGGTCTGAATGGGGTTTTGTTTCTCTCTCTAGAAATGGGGAAGAAAATGTAGGGAATTTTGGTGTGGTCATGTGTGGGTACTACAAATTACGACAGGTTACACGAAAAGTTTGAAGGATGCAGCGGACCTGCGGTTATTATGGATGTGAATTCTTTATTAGGAGCACTCGTACATAGCCCGGGTGTAGACGTGGCCAAAAGTCAATTCCGGTCCGAAATTGCCAGATTCGCATTTTCTATAAATTCAAATCGGCTCAGGCATATATACGGTTTACTGAGCCGGCGGTTCCCCGTTCAAGGTCGTATCGGCTTGAACCGTCGATTCAAATTCACTTTATATATAATTTCAGAATACGTTGAGCCTACGTGGCAAACTCATGCTTCGGATTTTATTTGGCAAAAAATTATGCTTTGGAATTAGACTTGAATATAAATTAATATTATAATACCATTACAATTCATACTTCACGTTCAAAATACATCTATGAACATTCCTCATCAATCTTATCATGAAGTTTCCACACTAATAAAACTTCTATATTAATAAACCAAATAATTTAAAATTCAATTTATATAGACTTATATTATCATCAAATCACGTATACATAACCTTGGTCATCTTTCTACACGGAAAAAATTCTAAGCACATAAACCAATTAATTTATTATTCAAATCATTTGGACTTATCTTATCATCAAATCACAATTTAAAGTTACTCAAATTCATATTTTAAATTAATCTCATTATTATGAAGTATTATCAAATACACCACATTATTTCCATTTATTTAAGATATATATTTTTGTACTTATGTAATAGTAAATAATATCGATATTTTATATGATATAAGTAAAAAAATTCAATACGGGTTGACATTTTCATTTAATGTACGGGTGTTTAATGATTATGATTGAAAAAATATAATTTGACAATTTAATTAAAACCCAAAGTAATGTTTAATATAATATTAAATTATTTTAGTTTTTAAAAAAATAAAAAATTTAATATTTTTTACAAAAGTTTTCTAATTCAACACCCGTGTAATACATTATTTTTTTACAAAAGCTTTCTAATTCAACACCCGTGTAAAACTTCTTGGTCATCAAGCATAGAACAATATAAGTGACACTCTTTTTTTACCACCACTCTAAGACATCGAATGTGAGGGTCAGAACTGGTGGTCTGATAATCGTAAGTATGAGATTCGAGGACAAGTAGTGATTGAGTCTATTTGTAAGGATTATAATTAGAAGCCCAGTCAGCAAAGTTTGAGCTTATTTGCGGCGTCAATTGTGGATATTGAGAATACGAAAAAGACTCGAAAGCAAAAGAAGAAAATGACACCAAATTTTTTTCGAGTCCGATTTTGTTTCCTTAAATACCTCATACAATAAAACTTTTGTCTGCTCGACGAGCAACTGTGGATTAGGTCTTTCAGTGACAGGAATAACATCAAAAAGAAGTAAGAGTTTATACATACTTTTACAATAAGTGTGGAGTTGGCTGAGCAAGCCACTTTTATATAGTGACGAATCTAACAAACATGCAACTAAAAATGTATCGGGAATGTAAAAATAATATTTTAATTATTTTCTTAACATATCTCTAAACAATTCGCCTTATTTGTCAGGATCAATAGCAAAAATATCTCTAAAACCCCACGTTACGGCTACACTTTGAACTAGCACAATTTGAGCAATAGGATAATAAAAAATATTGAGGACGACGATGTAAGTACATAACGGCCTCTCTAATGGGTGTAACCGACTCTTTCAAAGCATTATAACCCGATTGAACACAAAAATTAAAGACATGAGACATACACAAAATATGAAAAAGTATTCCACCACAAAGAGGACGACAAATTTCTATAAATTCATTTACAGAAGTAGTATTAGCACTAGCATTATTAAAAGAAGTGAAAATAGTTTTTGACTAATTCTATAAGTATTCAAGACACATACAATTAAACGAGCGATATTAGCAGCATTGTGAGAGTTATTAAATCATGTATAAGTAATTGACCATTTTGTAATATGAAATTATCATCTACCCAATGACAAGTAATTCTCATATAATGATTATCTTGCAAATGTTCAGACCAAATCTCATAACAAATATAAACTATATGGTTTAATTTTCAAAAGTGTGAGCCAAAATTATTTTTTTTTCTCACCCTCTATATTTTGAATTTCACGAGTGAGAATAGTACATGAAACCCGAGATGCAGTCGGGTTTAAAGCCATTTTTTTAGCAAAATTTTCATATAAATGTGAATCGCCAAAATTGAAATGAACAGGTGGAGCATAAACAAATTCAGTTAGATTAGGTCTATTGTTTTGTTGAGAGTATTGAAATAAAGAAGAAGAACTTGTTCTGTTGCAGATGCAGTGCTACTTCTTGGGATTTGCACTTGGATCGTGGGAATCCACATTTTGAAAGAGTACCTCTTCTTGGTGTTAGGCGGCTAGTGGTTACAAATACATATAAAGTGTCAACGCCTAATAGTTAAGACGTCTCGCACACAAATTTGTATTATTTAAAAAGTATGATAGAATTTATATAAATGGATAAATATTATTTTTTCAATTAATAAATATTTACTCCCTCTGTTTCTTTTTAGATGTCGTTGTAGGATGTCAACTTTTTTGCAAATTAGGTTGGAAATATTATATTAATTCTTACAACTTTATTCTCTTTAACAAACTTTATCTCTTATCATTATCTTTAAAAATTACTCATTAATAATTCAAAAACTAAATTTAATAAGATTAAAATCTCCTCTTATATATATATAATTTCAGAATGCGCTGAACCTACGTGGCAAATTCTCATGCTTTTGAATTCTATTTGGCAAAAAATCATGCTTTGGAGTTAGGCTTGGATATAAATTAATATTTATTTTAATTATATTTTAATATCATTTCTTATTATCACCATTGAAGTGCAAATATATTTTAAAAGTTGATAACTTTTGTATTTCTTATCGGTTTTACATATATAATATATCAAATTAATTATCTTTTGATGAGTTTCGATTTGACATCTATATTGTATATATAAAATAAATAAATTATATTTATCTTTATAATAATAATAAAATTATTTATTACAATTAATTAGAAAATAAAATTATTTATCAATTAATATTTTTCATAATATTAAATAAACATATTCTACACTTATGCATATACATATCACCATAATATTTCTATTTACTTAAGATATATATTTTATTGCTTATGTAATAGTAAATAATATCGATATTATTATATGATATAAGTAAACAAATTCAACACGGGTTGACATTTTTATTTAATATACAGGTGTTTACTTATTATGATTAAAAAAATATAATTTGACAATTTAATTAAAACCCAAAATAGTGTTTTATATAAAATTAAATTATTTTAATTTTTAAAAATATAAAAAAATTAATATTTTTTATAAAAACTTTCTAATTCAACACCCGTGTAATACACGGGTATTGCACTAGTATAAGATTATTACAGAATTCATTAAAATCGTAATTTAAAAATTTTAATTTAAAACCACGTATAAAAAAAACAGAGGCAGTATTTTTTAACATGCAATTGCACCACATGCTGGGAACAGATTTTTGTGCAGGTATTGTAATTATTTTTTTCGAAATTTGTCCACCACAAATCTTAATGATCTTATTTAATATTTATATAGAAAGCTAACCTTGATACTTTTACCACACAACACAGCCTATCTCTCTCACTCGGACATGGCGTCGACGATCAACCTAATTCCGATCACCGATCATCCCCATCTCTCTAAATCTCTAATTAAAGCCGTCCCTTTATTCCTCCCTTTGCCCCTGAACCGTTCTCTTACCTTTTGTTCCTTCAAAACAAAAGTACTAACACCATTATCGTCATCACGTCAAAACGCTGTGAGCGAGCAAGCTGTAGATTCTTTTATTTCTGATTCTACTGGAAATTCCGAAAATACCCCTTATTCCACCTCATCTAAGCTCGTTCTTGTTGTTGGTGGCACCGGCGGCGTCGGTAATTTTGCCTCTCCGTGATCTTCGTTTTCCACACATTCTTTATATATCTGTGTATGTAAGTTTTGTAGCTGTTGGATTTTCGTTTGTTTGTGTTTTTGCTGCATACATTGGTGATGGCTTGGCCTTGGCGTTTGTTGATGTGGGAATCTGTATTTTCATGGTTAAAATTCACGAACAAACTTGATAATGATCCTATGCCACACATATCAAGTACTGTGGATTGTACATTAAGTGTTTGCGGTTACTTATTCTTGGAGAAGTGATTTGTATTGTCGCCATGGATGTGTCGGGAGGTCGAGGATTCGTAGTTGGTAGTGTTGGTACAAATACAATATTAGAAGCAGAATTTGTTAACAAACACCGTGTGAGTAAAGTTGCCACAGTGCTTAATCCGTGTGTAAAGTCAAATTAGAGATGAAATAGAAAGTTCTAGAACACTGGTCAGTTTTCTTTCAGATTGTGATTAAAATTAAGCAAAACCAGTAGCCAAGCTGACATTTGCCAACACTTATGGGTTGTCTTTTTCCCTCTACAATCTGAGAGGTCTTTTTTGTTTTTCGTCTCTACAATCAGCTTTGGAGCTACTAGAATACTAGAATCTCAAGTCTGAGATTAGTCAATACTAGAATCTCATGAAAAGAGAAGAAAGGTGGACTAAATTTCTCCTCCTAAAATCAAGATGTTAATGTGGCACATTAGTAATTCTCTTCAGTCCAAGATTTGCCATCATTATCTAACTCTCCCAAGTCATCTTTGGTGGCTACCACTCTTCACAAAAGTGTTACATGCTATGCATTTGTCTAGTAAACTGAAGTGGTTCAATTAATGATAATACGGTTTGTATGGATCATTAGCATCTTCAAGTAAATTGTGCTTTTGTTTGGCTGCCATTATATTTTTCTACTAAAATGGCATTTTTCAACTTGCATGAGCTGCAAACTTCCATTTGTTTGGCCTTGGATCTCTATTCCCCACTAGGAAACAAAAAAGGCATGTGTGAATAGCTATGCGATCAAGTTTTTTACGAGCAGAAACTTTCTGTGGCATCCACTAACTATTATATCTGCTATTTAGGGCAATTAGTCGTGGCATCACTTCTTGACCGTAATATCAAATCGCGGCTTTTGCTCCGAAATCCCGAGAAGGCCGCCTCTCTATTTGGTGAACAAGATGATAGTAAATTACAGGTTTTGTCTTATCTCATACTTCATGTATTGCTTATTGTTCATTCATCAGCCAACATTGTAAAATACAAAACTTAATTTGTTTTGTTTTGTTTTGTTTTTTTGTTTTTTTTGCATGGATTTAATTATGAAAGCATATTTCTGATGTTGCTAGGTGTATCAAGGTGACACACGGAACCCAAAGGATTTGGTTCCTGCTATATTTGAGGTTTGCATTTCATCTTGCTTTGTTGTGAAGACAGATTTCAGAATGTTCATGGAGATTGAATGTTTGTGTTACAGGGCGTCACACATGTTATATGCTGCACAGGAACTACAGCCTTTCCTTCTAGAAGATGGGATGGTGATAACACACCTGAAAGAGTAGGTTAGAAAGCAAATTCATATACTAGCATTATTTGAGTTAATTCTGAAGAGAGCACTGGAAAAGATAGAATTGCATTTTTTTTTTCTATTGGAAGAAAAATTTGATCTATATGGATGAAAGATGTTGAGCCCATCAGTTAAGTTTTATCTGCTGCATATTCACTGTTTAGAGTTGTGCTTCCACTAAGTCGCATTCGGCTTTTGATGATTGCATCGCATTCAGTGCTAGGACTATGGAAGGTTTGGTGAAGTAGAGTACTCCAAAATAGTCGCCGAAGAGCAGCACATGTGATACTCAAAAATCAAATGAAAAATAAAATTCCTAAAAGTGGAATCTTTTACCTTGAGAAAGTCATATTTCTGTGATAGATTAGACATGAGAACTTACTCGATCACTGTTTTTGACTTTATTATGCTTCGAACCTCCAAATTATGCAGATACGACTTCGCACTTAGGTGATGTTTTTCATTTTTATTTTTCAATTGCTCTACAAAATGAACTTGAGGTTCATATGTTTATCTTATTTTTATGCATGATGTGTTAATTTTCCCTTGTAGATTGGGAAGGCGTGAGAAACTTAGTATCTGCATTACCTTCTTCTTTGAAAAGATTGGTTCTGGTTTCTTCTATAGGAGTCACCAAGTTCAACGAACTTCCCTGGAGGTATTGCGTTCGTTTTGGTTATCAACAACAGCATAATTTGTTAAGTGCTTTTCATGTCAAGTTGATGTAGTCTTTATTTTGCCTACATACATAATTCATCTGACTTGGTCAGATTTGAAAACTGGTTCAGTAAAAATCTTGTCCTTTTATTTTCGCGACATTAGATTTTCCCCTAATGTGATGCTTGTTTCTTACGCTGTAGCATCATGAATGTATTCGGTGTTCTAAAATATAAGAAAATGGGAGAGGACTTTGTTCGGAATTCTGGTCATCCATATACTATAATCAGGTTTGAAACATATAATTTCTGATAAAAACCTTTTTTTTTTGGGCATAGTTTTCAGATCTAATTTGTGTTTTCTTAGCCAGAGCTGGCAGGCTAACTGACGGGCCCTACACGTCTTATGATCTCAATACTCTACTCCAAGCCACTGCTGGTGAACGTCGAGCTGTGCTTATGGGTCAAGGTAGTAAAATGGATACTAGAAATATACTACCTATTTTTTGTGAGTTTTTTATCAAATATTTTCAGGTTAATTACGTGACTCGTTCACATTGTGACCAGAATGCTTTAGATATGACTTTCCTCACTTTTTCTCCAATGCTGTGTGTACTTCCAGGGGATAAACTAGTTGGAGAGGTTAGTAGGCTTGTAGTTGCAGAAGCTTGCATACAGGCACTGGATATTGATTTTACCGAAGGCGAAATATATGAAATCAACTCGGTACAGGTAAATTTGTCAAATGCATGTGTACAAACTACAAAAAGGGTTACCACTTTTGGAATTTAGGTATACATGAACTGTGCACACTTATATATCTTTCTAAAGCTGCGAATTAACACTCTTATTCTGTGCTGACTTTTTTTGTTTTTGTTTTTGTTTTTTTTTTTTTTTTNTTTAATCTCTTCCTCTTTTAAATACTTAATCCTCATTAGTTTCTCTTGTTTGCTATTTGGATATGAATTAAGTTTGAATCGAAAAGTGAATCTAGGACTAGATGGTGTTACCTTAACGACTGGATGGTGCATTGTATTCAATGGTTGGCAAAAAAATTATCTCAACTTGGGTCATATGCCATTAGCCTATACATTTACCCTTGAGTTATTTATGTCAGCTGACAAGTGACAGATTATAAATCTTACCATCTGAATGGATCCTTAATTTTTTTTAATCATTTATTTTTCAAATAAATATGGTGGAAAATAATGCAGGGTGAAGGGCCGGGAAGTGATCTCCAGAAGTGGCAAGAGTTATTCAGAGCTGCACAGAAGCAAGTCTGATATCCTGATTTTTACAGTATTCAAAGGTTGGCTTGAAAATAATATTACATATTTTTTAGCAAAGGGGTGTACATAACTCTTGGTGAAGGGTGAAGTTTCAAAGAAGATAAAAAGAAAAAGAAAGGAACATGAAAGATTATAAAAAGATGGATCTGTATGGGATTTTATAGGTGAAACAAAAAACTATCTTCCTTGTAGTTACTTGAAATCGGGTGCTGCTTTTATGTTATTGACTTTTGAGTTTGGCAAGCTGAAATATAAATCTTGACATGCCAAACACGAATTTTATTACAGGGTATCATAATCCCCGTCGAAAGATAGCATGCAGCTGAATTATAGTATGCATCTATACTTAAACTTCATCTATAAATACACAAGACATAATGAAGATATACGAAGAGATTGAAATGCAGAAATTCCAGTGTGTTCACGTGGGGTTACGAGGATTTGAGTTACTCATGTCAAGCCCGCTCAGCTGCATAATGTATCATCTACTTGCTAATTAAGAGATGGCAATTAATCCAATTAAGCCTTCTCATTCAGATACGATGATAACTGATTATATAAATTACAATGTTTTGAAGTTCAATTGTTTATGAATATTTTATTTTATATGTATGTTAAACCTAAGACCGTTTTAAGATGAATATATAATTTGATATATTGTATTTGAAAAGATGAAAAATATTTTATGAAAAAAAGTAATTTATAATTTGAGTCTTCGAGTGTACTATATGTTTAAAATTATATTTAGCAAGTTAATAGTAAATAAAGAAGTTAATCATAATTTAAGCTACCCAACTATTTTATAATTTAATGTTCTAAGATACATTAAAAGTTCATATGAACTATTTCAAATTACAAAAAATAAAAAATAAAAAAGCAAAAAAATTAACAAATAAAATCATAGAAACGCTACATTTATACTCGGGAAAACTCTATATTTATGTATAAGGCAGGGATTGGTAAGTTCATGCCCTAGATCAAAAAGTGAAATAAATTCAAAACCTCAAGTGATTTTGGAATAAAAATATATGTTTATAGAGCCCAAAATAAAATACTAGAACAATATCAATATCATATAAATAAATCAATTAATCAATACTAGTACAACACCCGTGTATTACTTGGGTTCTTGTTAAAAAATTATTCTTAAATTTTAAAATTTATGAGAAAAATTATTTTAAATTTTGTTTACTTTTTTACAAAAAATATATATTATTATATATTTTAAAATAACATTTATTACTTGTGCGACTTACATGTGTTATATTATAATAATTTTTGTAACTTATATAATATTAAGTACTTGAAATATAAATATATTAATTGATAAATAATTTTATTTTTCTAATGAATATTAAAAAATAATTTTATTATTGTTATAAATATAAATATAATTTATTTTTTTATACATACAATATAGATGTTAAATCGAAGATCATCAAGAGATGATTAATTTGATATATTATATATGTAAAACTAAAAAAAAATACAAAAGTTATTAACTTTTAAAATATATTTACAATTCAATGGTTATAATAAGAAATGATATTAAAATGCAATCAATACATATAACATGACCATAAATAATCAACATATTTATAGATAATCCGAACCTAATTATTTTTGGTTTGGAAGTAAATTAAAATTACCCAAGCCTAATAACGAAGCATGTAATGTTGCCACATAGGATCCCGAAGCATGCAAGTATGTCACTTAGGCTCAGCACGTTCTGAATTAATAGATATGGGGAATATCTCGTTTCTCTTGTACATTCTAGGAAAAATTGGTCGTAAAGTAATACACCAATACGTCTTATCGGGTTGAACCGAATTATCACGAATGGACGTCGACTTCAAGCTTCGGTGACCTACAATATGCAGGGGAAGGGTCCCGGAGAAAACTCAGATGCTCAAGTCAGTAATTTGCTCGTGAGAAAATGGTAAAGTATAGGTTAAGTACATATGTATGCCTCTATATAATATAAAACCTGACCACCCTTATATATATAATAGGGTATCTTGATGTCCAAGAGTATCCTAACTAGGAAAGAGATATGTTCGGATCCATGTTTCTAGCTTATCACACGTCTCTCAAGATCTGATACTTCTTAGCAAAATATACTTTTCATTCATGACGGATTCCATCCACTCTTACTATACGACACTGAAGTCCTTAGGTCGCAACCTCGACCTCGTGACCCACATGCCATCAGCTCAAATCAAGTCGCAACTACTTCCCTCTTACGACCTTAGAGCTATTAGGTCAAACCAGGTCGTAACCACGACTTGCATTCTCCCGATCTCTGGCCCATGAGGTCTCATTGTCTCATTGAGCTGCTGGAGGAGTACGACCTCCAAACCATCCAATTAGGTCGACCTGTACCCTGAGCTACCTGAACGAGCTCCTCGACTGGGTCGAACACTTAAGCTAAGCTAGAGCTCCCTTGGACCGGCCATACCCGAGTTAACCACTCAAGTTGGTTCATCGAGCTATCTTTGATGCTATATCATTTAGCTTTCCCCCACCCGACTTATGCAAGAATGATTCGTTGCACCTTACCATGTCCCACTGGAATTAATAAAAAACTTTTTCTCTCGAAAGAAAAATGCACAACAGTGCATCGATAAGTTTCTTCCAGCCTCTCCACGTCCCTCTGCCATCTCTAAGCTTCCGTCGCCGGCACCATGGTCTTTGCCCCGGTAAGAGTCTCGTCTTCTCGACCAATTTTGGAATCGGGCCTCGTGTTAGTCTTCTTCCTCCTCACGGAGCTACTGGCCGACGAGACCGAGCAATTGTGGGGCAGTGACGAGCCTCCGAGTTAGACTCCCTATTCGGGGGACTGTGAATCTATTATATCTAAATAGTCAATAACCAGTTTGGATTTCCAGTGTCATACTCTTATTTGGGCCAATTTAGTGTTTGGCGTTTCAAAATCTGGGTCATGATTTGTGGTTTTCTTCGTATTACATTTTGACTCTAGCTTTGGTGTGGGTTGTCGGTAGCTGTGGACGTCTGTTAGAATATGGGGAGGGTGAATTCTATTTAGTAGCTCGTAGGTCTATGTGTTTGTGTTTTTATTTTTTCTTTCTGTTTATAATAGTTATTCTCCATTCTCTAAAGTTTTTTTTTTTTTTTCGAAACGATACAAGCTTTTATATCAACCAATGTACAAATATACAAATCGAGAGCTTAATAGTTCAATAATACAATGGAGAACTAGAGAACCACACCACACGGTGGTCTAGAACCAAAAATAAACACTAACAACAATAACCCCACTCCAAAGATGCTAAGGCAGCCTAACCAGCTGGATCCTTAACTTCCAAACCACCACCAGCAAAAGTACAAACATCATGACAAATATTCACACAAAGACATGCAACTCAAAAGAAAACTACCAAAACCTGCTAACAACTGCAACTAAAACAACCTAATTGGGACAAAATACAAACAACAAGAAGATACATCACTCAATACATGCCACACAGCACCAAGAATACTGACAACAAGTGCCCACTGAAACCATTTCTGGACCTAGTCTCCCTTACTGTCAGCTCTCAATGCCTCCTTCTAGTTTGAGTGTTGAACTCTCGCCATTCTGAAGAAGCTGCTTTGATAGTTTGAGACACCGGCATCCATTCATTCTTGAAGACCCATAAATTACGAGCCTTCCACAACCAACATAACATGTAGGTTGTGAGTTGGATACGAGCCTCAGAGATCTCCTTTTTGTCCATTGAGCAAACATCTTGCCACCACACCTTGAAACTGGAAGTGTTTTCAATGCTAAAGTCCCACTGGATAGGAGCAAACTTCCATACCTGCAGTGTTGTTGGGCATCTAAAGAATAGATGTTCTATAGACTCAGCCTCTTCACCACACCTCTGACAAATGCAATCAAGATCTATTCCTCTTTTTCTTAGATTGATCCTCACAGGTAATGTATTGGTGTAGTTCCTCCAGATAAAGTGCTTCAACTTCCCTTTTATATTAAGCTTCCAACTTCTCAACCTTGTTATTCTGTTCAGTTGGATATGTGAACTGCATTCATCAATGTCCATTCTCTTGAATTTGTTTTCAACAAACTTTGAGTATGCTCTGGCTACTGTAAATTCCTCTTTGGCTGTATCATCCCAACTCCATCTGTCTGCTTTGGTAGGGTTAATGGAACTGATATTCAATATGGCCTTGCCTTCATCCTCACTGAAATTCTGCTTTACCACATCTGTATTCCATTTCCACCCTCCACATTCAAATAATTCCCAAACAAACTGTATATCAACATTATTCTCATTCACTCTCTTAGGTATGCCTAACTTAATTCCTGGCACCCAAGGATCTTGCCATATTCTAGTGGACAATCCATCACCAATTGTCTTTCTGAAACACCCTTGATATTTGTTTTTCACTTGAACCCATGTGCCCCAAAGCCAGGATGCATTCTGTTTCCTTAGAGCATTAAAAATACAGCTTGTTGGAAAATATTTCCCTTTCAGCAGTTTGCTAACCAGCAAATTAGGTCTAGTGGCAATCCTCCAGATTTGCTTCAATATCAGTGCCTCATTAAACAACCTCAGATCATGGAACCCCAAACCCCCAAACTCCTTTGGTAGAGTTAATGCTCGCCAAGATTTCCAGTGGATACCAGATGAGGCCTTCTCACCATTGCCCCACCAAAAATTAGCAAACAGGCTGGCAATTTTGTGGCACAAGGAGACAGGCAAAGAGAAGCAAGACATTGTAAATACAGGAAGAGCATTGAGGACTGACTTCATTAGGACCTCTTTTCCGGCCAAAGACAGAAAATTGTTCCTCCAGCATGAAATTTTACCTCTTATCACTCCCAATTTCCAGGGGCAGCCCCAGATATTTAGATGATGAGTGCACTTGTATTCCAGATAACAACTCACATATGGCAGTTTTAACATTACAAGTCACATTCTTACTAAAGAAAATTGATGATTTCTGCAAATTCACCTTTGGGCCACTGAATTTGTTATACATTTCAAGCATCTTAGCCACCACATGAACATAATGAATATCATCTCCACAGAACACCAGAGAATCATCAGCAAATAAAAGTGTGACAAGGAAATACCACCTCTGGCAATGCAAATTCCAGATAATTGACCATAATCAGTTTCCCTTTTCAAGAGTCTAGAGAACAATTCAGAGACAAGGATGAATAGATAGGGAGAAATGAGATCCCCTTGTCTTATCCCCCTAGATGCTTGAAAATAACCACAAAGCTCTCCATTAATGTTCAAAGAAAAAGCAGCAGTTGAGACACATTCCATAATCCAGTGCACAAAAATAGGATGGAATCCAAATTTTAACAGAACCAATTTGATGCAATTCCATTCAAGTCTATCATAAGCCTTTATCATATCCAGTTTGACAGCTATATATCCCTTCCTCCCAATTCTAAGCCTATTCAGATAATGGATAATTTCATGTGCCATAATAACATTATCAAGCAGCTGCCTACCTGGAATGTAGGCAGCTTGATTCTCACTGACACACATATGCATAACAGGCTTCAGTCTTGCTGCAAGAATTTTAGAGATAATCTTGTATGTAACATTGCATAGACTAATTGGTCTGAAGTCACTTAGGGATATTGGATTAAGACATATAGGTATTAGGCAAAGCGTGGTATGATTCTAGTTTTTTAAAAGCCTTCTGGAGTTAAAAAAAACTAGACACGGCTTCACAAAGATCACCTTTCGCAACTGGCCAAAAATGTTGGAAGAAAAGAGGGGACATACCGTCTTCACCTGGTGCTTTCCCCGGGTTCATGCTGAAGAGGGTATTCTGAATCTCATCATTTGTTACTTCAACAATTAATTGTTGGTTAGCATCAACAGATATTGCACATGGAAGTAATCTGAGTATCTGGTCAACATCACTGCTTCCATTAGAGGTAAAAAGCTCAGAGTAGAACTTGCAAACTTCTTCTTGGATATCCTGCTTGGTCTCACAAACTCTGCCATCAGATGTTACCAACTTAGAAATTGTATTGGTTTTTCTTCTTTGCATGATGAGAGCATGGGAGAATTTTGTGTTTTTGTCACCATTCTTCAACCACTGGTTTCTTGATTTTTGCCTCCAAAATTCTTCTTCTGAGCATTGTGTTTCCTCCAATTCTTTTTTCAATTTATCTCAGACCTCCCAGTTTCTTTCTCCTCCCTTTACTCTGAGCTCTTCCAATCCCACAGTTAACTGCTCAATTTTCTTAACATTATCTGACTTCAAAGCTTGGCTCCATTTGAGAAGAGCGATTCTTGCTTTCTTGAGCTTCTCTTTGAACTGGAACATGGGTGTCCCCGAGCCTTGATCTGCTCATGAGTCTTGCACCACCTCCAAAATGCCCTCTTTCTCAATCCATCTGCAATCAAATTGAAATCTTGGCCTTCTCTTTGGAATGTTGAGCCCATCATCAGATAATACTAGAAGGCTATGATCTGAAGCAGTTTTCAAGCAGTTGAGGACCAGAGCATTCTTGTATTGGAATATCCAATCATATGATGCAAATACCCTGTCCAGTCTTTCTTCAATGAAGTCCTTTCCTCTTCTGTTGTTACACCAAGTGAATTGGTGTCCTTGCATACTCACTTTACACATCCCAATTCTAGCAATAAAATTTTGAAATTCAGCTAACTCTTCTGGCCCTTTATCTTTGCCAGCAGCTTTGACATGTTGCTGCACAATTGCATTCCAGTCACCTCCAATGATCCAGTTGGATCACCATTTTAATTTAGCTTGCAAAAGAAATTCCCATGCTCTGATCTGGTGCCCCTGTCTGTACTAGCATAGACAAAAATTAACCACAAGGGCTTACAACTATATTGATCCACTACTTCCAGTTCAAAACAAAAAGAATTACAGAACATTTGAATAATATTAATATGCCTATCCCATAAAATTGCTAATCCTCCTTTCAACCCCAAAGGATCAACAGCTGACCACATATTCTTAAATCCAAGTTTATTACAAACTGTTCTAACAAAGTTTTTTTGTTTTTTTGTTTCAGAAAAGAAAATGACTTGTGGGTGGTGGACTCTGATTGAGTCCTTCAACTGTGAAACTGTAGAGGGCTCACCCAGTCCTCTACAGTTCCATAAAATTAGCTTCATTTATAGGGTCGGGGCCATTCAAGGCTGGCTATCATCACCTCTTCAGAGAAAAGTTTCTTCTTCTTCTTATCTCTGTCAGCTTCGGGGGATGTAGGATTTGACAAGTTCATCTTATCATCCTCCTCTCTAAATCTCTTCAGAGAATTCTGACTAGAGTCCACTTCCTTTATCACAATCCCTCTGTTTGGTCTGTTGGATTTCTTCTCCAATCTTGTCCACTTCTTAGTTTGGTCATTTGGCTTCTGCATCTCCCTGATAGAATGGTATTGTACCAATTCTTGCGGCAGTAACTCTGGCATAAAATCCATCTGTGTATTTTCAATAAGTAGTAGGTCCTGCTCGCCAATGGTTTCCCCTTCTGGAATTGATGAAAGGGTATTATTTGGAGTTTGGACTATCAATTCCATCTTTGATTCTTCAACCATATTCTGAGCTATGTGAGAAGCTCATTTGTTGGTGTCTGATTCCTGATTTTGTTCCTTCTCCTTCATGAGTTTACTTGTTGAAGGCTGAGGATCACCTTCTGATTGGTTTTTATTCTGACAAGATACTTCACTACCACGAGTAACATTATTCTCAGCAGTAGCCGGAATTGGTGAGTCAGTGTTTTGCTGCTGAGAAGTAGAATTACTGGAGTAGTTGAATCTATAATTGCTTCCTCCTTCCACTGCCTTCATCCACTCACCATATTGGCCTTCTTTGACTTTCTCCTTCTCAATATCTTCCAATCGCCTCTCACAAGCTCTGTCCAAATGCCCAAGTCTACCACAATAGTAACAGAGATTAACAAGTTTCTCATATTGGAATCTAATCATGACTTGTTGGTCTCTCAGCTGCATATTGATACATCTTGGCAAGGGCTCGTCTATGTTAATGGTGGCCAATAATCGAATATAGTTGCATTGTCTCCCACCAGCTTTAACAATTTCTACATTTTTAACCTTCTTGAATATCTTGCCAATCTTCAGCCCCACTTTTGTACTTAACCAATTCAGAGGAACGTTATTGACATGCACCCACATGTTGATTTCCTTGAATCCCACATGGTTCACAGACAGCTTCTCTTCCCACTCACGTAGAATCATGTATTGATTTTCATAAACCCAATTAATCCCTGAAACTACTTTCCTTTTGTCCTCTCTAGTGCCAAATATGAATTGAAAGAAGTTGGGGCTTAATTCTTTCACTTCGACTTTCTCTTTAATTTGCTAAATGGTACTCATGGTGCGTCTGATACCTAGTAAGCTCGCCTTACGATCTCCAATGACCTTCCCAAATAAACTCTTCTCACATTCTTCCGCACTCGACCTAATGTCATCATCAATTAATACGATCAAACCTGTTTTTGTCCCCGACAATTCAATTTTCTGAAGCTTATCCCCTATTTCATCCGCTAACCCCTCCACTGAAGGATCTGCCATCGCGCTAGCGAGGAACAGACACTCCCATCCGAAACCCTACTGAGCAAAACCAAAAGGAGAAAAAAATCTAAACCGATAAAATGGAAGGGAATAGAAAGACAGTGCAGCGCTAATTGTTTGGAATCCTGAAACTCTCTAACCCTAGAGAATCAAACTCCCATGGAAGAGAATGTCGCTCCCAACAGGAGAATGTGTCTACGCTTTACGGGAGCTTTAGGGTGTGTTTGTAAAAGAATTTACTCAAACCAGATTAATTCATACTCAAGATCTAATTCAACTTTAACTCAACCACACTATCTTCAATATTATAAATATAACTAAATAATAACAATCAATCATTAAATAATAACAACCAATGATTTTTACACATACGTATCAACTTTAATTCATTATTCATCCACTCACATAATTTTAACTAACATCACTTCATATCATCTCCTTCCTAGTTTTACATCAAATCAATTTTAATTATTTTATTTTAAATATTATTTTAATATATTTTCAAAATTTCACTAATAACTAACTATACTACTTTTTTTAAATTAACCATAGTTAACTAAAAAAAAACCCACTTTTGATTGAATTTATCCTTTTACAAACAAACTTTTTGTAATTGTATTTGTGTTTTTCATTTTAATTTGCACAAAGAGTTGGATTTTAGGCTGCTGTGTGCATTTCTCCTATGTTCAACTTTTTATAATTGTTTCATTCAGTGATATTAGGTGCTCTCTAGGTTGTTATTATCTCCTTTGTTTAATGCCAGTAGCACTACCGTGTGCCCTGGCACACCTAGCTAGGTGTGCCAGGGCAAATTTGCACGCGCCCCCTCACCCCAAAAAACTAAAAAATTTGGAGAGTGTAGTGCACATTCCCATTTTTTCTTTTTTAATTGAAAAATGAGACATATTATATAAATTAAAATACCATTAATTATATATTAAAAAAATAAAATAAAAATACCAAAATTCATAATTTTTCATTATCTATAAATAGAGACCACATTTGATAGGTTTTTAATACAACTAATTTTTCGTTTTTTCGTAACTATTTTATTATACTGACATATAATGAACATGTTACATAACAAGATGAATATGTTTTCAAATAAGATGAACATGTTACAGATTGCAGATTGAAATAATACATATTCATCTTATTTTATAACATGTTCATCTCATTTTGGTAACATATTCATCTTATTTTATAACATGTTCATCTCATTTTGGTAACATATTCATCTTATTTTATAACATGGTCGCCTTATTGTGTATGTAACATGTTCATCTTATTCTATAACATGTTCATATTATTATGTAACATGTTCATCTTATTCTATGACATGTTCATTTTATTATGTAACATGTTCACCTTATTGTGTATGTAACATGTTCATCTTATTCTATAACATGTTCATTTTATTATGTAACATGTTCATCTTATTCTATAACATGTTCATTTTATTATGTAACATGTTCATCTTATTTTAGAACATGTTCATCTAAATTTCATCTGTGAAAATGTAACATTTTCATCTTATTCTATTGACATGTTCATCTTACTCTATAACATGTTCATCGTACTATGTAACATATTCATTTAATTATAGATTTGCGTCATAATCTTCCAATAAGATAAATTAATTGTAAAAAATAATAAATTAATTGTGTTCCAAAAAATATCAAATGTGGTCTCTATTTGTAGAGAATGAAAAATTATGAATTTTGGTATTTTTATTTTTATTTTTTGATATAAAATATGAATGATAATTTAATTTATATAATATGATATATGAAATTCATTACCCAATAGAAATAGGACACATGTCTCATTTTAAAAAAAAAATACTCTACCTCCTTACCTCAGGCGCTTTTGAAAGAGCTGTATTTCACAAAAGGCCACCTAAGTATTTGCGGTTTAATGCATCTGTTTGTTTAATGCATCTATCATTTAAAAAGAACAATAGAGAAATTCTTTTCCAAATCCGGATAAGGTTTGCTTCCCACTTGTCACTTGATACACAAATGAACTGAAAATATCGCCCGCTTCTGTAATTACAACGTCATCCACCTCCTCTCTTCTCAAATATCTATATTTTTCATGTCACTACGTCAACAATTTCAGCCTCCTCGAAACGTGTGCTCTTCTCCTTTGACCCGCGTCACCCTTCCTTTCTTTCTCATAACACTCTCTTTCTCTCTTTTCGCCCATTCCAATTTCCCCCAAATTTCTCATAGCTCACACATCTCGCCCTTTCTCGCTCACACACAAATTCACTGATTACACCCTCCCAAATCAACTGTGAAATTACGCAATTGAGCTCACAGATGACGAATTCGAGCAACGAGGACCCCTTCGAGCGCCTTCCAGACGACGTCGTCCTCTCAATCTTCGACAGGCTGCAGGACGCCCGGTCCCTCTGCCTCTCCATGGCCGTCTGCACGCGCTTTCGCGCCATCGCTCCTCAGGTCTTCCACATCTCCCTCCCTGTCCCCCGCAGGAAACCCACCCCGCCCAAACAACCCCACCGGAGGACGGCTTCCCTCCAGAGCCTCATCGCCGGAGCCCTCACCCGGCCCATCCAATTCATCTCCCGGATGATCCGACCCGTGTCCAGGGACGCCGCGGAGAAGATCGGCGACCTCGAATACTACTCCCGCCGCCTCCCCGGCCTCATCCTCCCCCGCTTCCACCAGATCCGGACCCTCCGCCTCCGTCTGCCTTGCAACGGCTACCACAAACCCGACCCGAAACCATCCAAATCCGGCGGCCACGAGGCCCTTCTGAAGTGGACGGCCGATTTCGGGCGGGAGATCCGCGGCTGCGTGGTCCTCGGCGCGCGGCGGTGGTTCCCGGTTGGCAGAGGGCCGTCCGGGCCGTCGGAAACGGAGGCCCGGTCGCTGGGGGACGACGAACTGAAGCTGCGGATTGTGTGGACGATATCGTGCTTGATAGCGGCTTCGGCGAGGCACTATCTGGTGCAGGAGACGGTGCGGGGGCTGGAGAGGGTGGAGCGCGTGGAGGTCACGGACGAGAGCGGGCAGGGGAGGCTGTGGATGGGCTTCAAGGAAGCTCATGGGGGCTAAGAGGTGTTATACACTAGAGATGAACTCGTTTTGAGTTTTTGTACCATATTGTTAATTACTCATGTTTTTTTTTTTTAAATTATTAATTTTGTTTCTTCTTCATCCGTGTCAGATATGTTAAATGGTCATTGGATGGCCTGTTTAGCCCCAAAAAAACAGGGTTAGGGTCCTTTATTAGTAGCCCGTTTAAATCAAGGCCTGAATCGTTTAGTCCGAAGTTCGCTAAGGCTAACACGAAACCCGCTAGGGTTGATTCGTTTAACTAGGGTTGAGGAGTGTAAATATTATCAAAGTAAGTAATATACTCTTAGATTGTATATTACAATTTTGTTATTCCACTTTTCATATAAGTATGAGTTGTAATGGATTATTATGATTTTGAAAGATAATTATAAACAATATTGTTATTGTACTTCACACCAAAATATTTAATCCCAATCAGAACATCTAATAAGAAACACATGAAACATAGTGATAGAAATTATAGTGAAAATTCCAAAGCGTACAAAATAAGTAGTACAATGATAATTATAAGTAATAGTTGGAATATTTTTTTGTTTTGAGAAAAAATGTGTTATTTAAGAGTTTGTAATGTGTGTTTATATATGATGTACAGTTGTATTTATAGAGAGGTAAATACTAAATAGCAACTGAAAATAATCGTTAATTAGGCGTTGTTATTTTTTTATATTTTTTTATTCTTTTTGTTTTTTATATTTTTGATATATTATTATTATTATTATTATTATTATTATTATTATTATTATTATTATTATTATAGCCCGTTTAGCCCGAAGTCCGCTAGGGTTGGGTTAAGTCCCTTTATTGGTAGCCCGTTTAAATCCGGGCTTTTTAAGCCCGGACCGTTTAGTCCGAAGCCCGTTAGGGCTAGCCTGAAATCACTAGGGCTAGCCCATTTAACATTTCTAACAGCAACGTGTATTACTCGTAAAAATTGTGTAAATCCGCACTAACGACTGTCTGTCGACACGAAGATTTATGCTCGGAAACGAGCGTTTTTGTTATTTCTTATTGAATCATGAAAATTCAAATGAAAGTTATAAAGTAGGAAACCTACTACAAATTACACCACAAAACTTCTAAGAAACTGATTTATTTTTTATAATTAACTGGACGGAACTGTCGCCAATTCTTCGAATTGTTTAGGTTCATTGCGTTGTCGAGGCGCGACGAGTCTCGCGCTGCCCGACAGACTAGATCAAGATTGTTAATATGGTTGAACGAAGGTGTAACCCTAGAACTCAAAAGCCAGCTTGCTCTTCGAGGACTAACAACCCATGTCTCGATCCCTTCAGGATCACTCCACATCAAGTCATATAAGGGTCCCAGATCTTACAATATATAATATAAAAAGGCTCATAAGAGAAATGCCTAACAATTTGGTAATGTCCTCTTCATCATCAGCATGCTACATTGCAGCAATTAAGTTCGAACGTCTCAACTCCCTTTCTTGAAACTCAGTAGTACTCTGTAAAAACTCCAACTCTGGATGAGTTTTCAAAAGGTCTCGAAAAATAGGTTCGAAATCATCCTGAGCCAAGTGCATGACAGTTGGATGCTTAAATATGGTATATATTTGGGTTATTATGTCTTTTGTCAACATGTTTCCATTGATCCAATAGTTGAAAAACATTTCTGTTCACAGTTCTTATTCCTTCAACATCTATCTTTCTAAACAGTGCATGAGAGAAGAATGAGGGTAGCTTACAAATTTCTTTAATCCCTAGTTTGAATTCATGCATTTGGAGTCCATCCACATGATCGTAGAAAAACTGGTTGGTTCTAATCAAACAATGTTATCTCAATTCACTTTGAGGTGGTCGGCCATTTATTAGGTAGAACTGAGGTATAAGTTCCTTCACTGGCTTGCTCACTAATTTCAGTGGAGAAATTGGATCGAGCTCTAGGGATTCACTCAATTCCTCCGGGCACGAACCTTTTCTAGCCACTTGTTCATCCACATAAAAGTTAGGCAGTCCCTCATACTCGGTGATGGGATATAATATTGATCCGAACCTACAAAGGAAACCACGTTATCAAACCGGGCCAACGAAGGAAGCCTTATTCGACCTAAGCGTAGATGACTTAGAGCATCTCCAATGGTACATGGATTGCTCTCTTCCATTGCCACATAGCCTCCAAAATTCAATTTGGCATTCAATAAATCTAGAAGTCTTTCTAGATGTAGAAAGACTTCTAGACATCTTATATTTTATATTATATTATTTATTTTATATTTATGTTTCTACCAACCAATTATCATATTACATGTGTCAAATTATCCGACAATTGGAATTAACCATTGGAGACAAAAATTTTTTTGTTCCTTTCTCCACACCATACATCTCAAAATAGACATTGAGGCATTGAAGATGCTCTTAGAGTCGAGTCGACCTCACTTAATTAAACCGGTTCGACCACTAGTCCAATCAATGAGCCATTGAACCGATAGCTTTACTGATTCGATTTTCAGAACCATGAAGTCAAAACATCTTTCCTTAACCGAAGTATTGAGGAAACCATCTATATGCAACAACTATAAGAAGAGTAACCAGGCTGAATTTCTATAACATTCATGTATTGGATTATAATATTAAACTTCAAAGGCATTTTTGTCAATTCAAAAAAGGTCACGTGTCGCCATGTTTTTAACTAGCTCATATATATAAAAGAGAGATTTATAAAAGATTTAATTTATTTTAAAAAGTCACTAATAAGTAATTAATGTTTCCATTATTATTTATGTTATTTGCGAGATGATAGATAACATTTAACAATGAAGAGAAGTGAGAACACTATTTTTTCTTTTTTTTTTTTGTTTTTATTTATGAAACATTAGAATTTATTAATACAGTGATAAACCTTTGTACTAAAAATCGGTCTACGCGGCGCCTAGCGCCCGACCGCCTCCGATTTGCATAAATCGACTGAAAAAATCTGCCAGGCGGCTTGGCGGCGCCTAGGCGTTCTTAGGCGGCCTCGGCGGTAATTTTTTAATTTTTTTTTTAAATACTGATTACATTTTATTATCATGTTTTCTTTATAAATATTAATGTTATTATTTTGACTTAGATGTGTTGATTTGTTATAAGTTGACATAGTTTTATTTTGTAGGTAGTGAAAATAAATAAGAAAATAAGGTGTTTAATCTTAATTTTTAAGTCCCGTCTAAGCACAGATTAGGCCCCGCCTAGACGCTGTAGGCGCTAGGTGCTGATCGAGCCGCTAGTGATCGAGCGCCTAGCGGGCGTCTAACAACTTCTAGAACACTGAGATAAACACAAGTGAGAACACTATTGAAAAAAAATATATATATATACCCTATGCATTTACATGCATACCCTTATGAAGTAAAACCCACTCGATATTTCTCCTTCAAAGCCCCCAAAAATTTTCTGCGTTCAACAGATCAGCTAGCAAAGTTCAAATTCTTGAGAGAATCCCAATTTTTTCTAGGGATAAAAGTTTGCATAGAGATATACTCTGCTTTTATGCATAAGATGGAAGCGAAGCTTGGCAAATTCTTCGATAAGGTCGGCAGCTTTTTCTCCGGCAGCGATCAGATTCCCTGGTGCGATTTGGATGTCGTCGCTGTAAGTATCGTCGTTCTCTGTTGTGTTTCTTTTTACCTTTTATTTTCGGTATCCTTGGCTGGAAAATATCTGCAGAAACATTGTAATGTTACTAGGGTTTAAATGGTTGTTTTTCGAACAAAATCCCTTTGTAAGCAGTATGAGGAATCCTTTACCAATATATGGTGATCATTGAGTAGCCGTGAGGAATAATTGTTTTTATCAGTCGAGTTCGTCAATTGAAGGGTGTATCTGTGTCAGCCAATTTTGTGGTGCTGTTGGTGGTTACAGGAACCTGGTGCAATTTCGTTTTGTCTGAGCTGGAAATTGACACACAAAATTGTATGTTCATAGAAATAGAGTAGTTATAGCTAATAGAGTTGGACTTTCCAATCCTTATCTTGTAGCTCTTATCATCTGTTCTTACGTGAGTTCTACTATGGCCATTTTCCTTGATCTTCTATTGTCTATTTTATTATTATTTTTTTGTTTAATGTTATTTCAGTTATTGGTGGGAATGTGAATCTTGTAGTATACAGGCCTTTTGCCTTACTGGTTTATAGCAGTTTGCACCAAATTACATGGGTTGTAATACTAAAATTTTAGCACCTATCTGTGCGATTCATCACCAAATTGACTTTTAAATAAAACAGGATGTGTATCATTACATCTGTTATAGTGTCCTGTCCACAGAGGTTGTGAACTTGTGATTCCAACTACACGTTAACCTTGGACAATTTTGTATTCTCGTTATACCCCAACTATGACTGGTGGAGCCTGTATTGAGTGGAAATTTGAGTAGGCCAAATTGTGTTGGTTGCAACTCAGGTCATTTGTTTTCAATTAGATTACCCTATTGAATGGATAATTTGTGAAATCGGATTTTCTGTTTCATTCTACAGAAGTTTTTGTACATATCTTGTCCAGAATGGAGTATCAACTGGAAAATGAATATGCCGATCCATTAATTCAAAGAAGTGTTCATAATGATATGTCTTGTGTTTCTGAGTCTTGCTTCCCTCAATGTCTGAATACATGCATAGGGTTTACTTGTGTTCTTACTCAATATTGTCTCTCAGATCATAGGGAATTCTTGTACCTTGCATACATTCGTAACATTTTCTTCTCACAATTTCTTAGTGCTGTATGTTTACAGGGTTGTGAGCATGAAGTTGCTGAAGCTCAAAAAGGTTCCTCTGATAAGGTGAAAAGTGAATGCATCATGCGCTTATCTTGGGCCCTCGTTCACTCCAAAAGGCCTCAGGATGTTCAACGTGGAATAGCTATGCTGGAAGGTGATAATGCTCTCTCTCTCTCTCTCTCTCTCTCTCTCGGTGTGTGTGTATGTGTGTGTCGAGGAGGGATTTTTTCGTGGATCTCAATGTAGCTGTGGAATAGTTCTGAATTCGCTGTCATTAACTCTCAGTTACATTATCTTTTATTGTTGTCTCATCAACCGCTATCTATTTGACAACAAATTCCACTTACAGCTCAAACTGGATTTTACTTTTTCTGACAACCTTGAAAAATTGTCCCTTGCAGCTTCTCTGGCTGCCGAGTCAAGCAGCCCCTTGGAGGAGAGGGAGAAGCTTTATCTTCTTGGTGTTGGACACTACAGAAGCGGGGACTACTCCAGGAGCAGGCAGCTTGTTGATCGTTGTCTGCAGGTTTGAACTCTTTAAGTAATCGAAGTTTAAATGTATGATCACGTTCTTCTCTTCGTAGAAAATGTTTTTTCAGTTCTGTCATTTCCAGTTTTTCAAGTGTTCTTCTTTCCAAAATCTCTCTCTCTTCTCTCTCATATTCTTTTTATACTTGGTTGGATTACTACAGATTGCTCCTGATTGGAGGCAGGCCTTGAACCTGAAGAAAGCAATTGAAGATAAAATTACCAAAGGTAACTCATGCTCATTTATTACTTGTTTGATCTCCCACCTTTTTCTAATGCGAAAAGTATTCATTGCAATGTGTATTTTACATGTTTTGGCTTATGCATAGTTTTTTTTTTTTCTTTCTTTTGGGGGGTAAAATGCAACCTAGAGGAATGAATTTATACATCTCAACCTTTGGGTTGGAAAATGCTGGAAAAAAATGAATAATTAAAATCGTCGGCACAGCTGATTCCAGTACCTACCATTGCCGTTACTGGAATCACAAACAAACCATACATCTCTACCTTCTCATTCTCCATCGTATACAAAAGTCATAGCCTCGTCAAACACTTAAGTTGGACCACCACCACAATATTTGCCGCCTTTCCTTGCATTTTTGTCTGCAAATCTTTTCAAAAAATTGAACATGCCCCTTATTTCCACCTCTCATTGTGCCTTCGCCAATTTTTCATTTGCTCATTCATTTTCCGGAAAAAATTAAGCGTTTTCCAATCCGAGGTTGCAACACATAAATTTCGTGTACCATAGATTTCATTCACCACAAAATTTGGTTTAGGTTGCAGAAGCCAAAACATGCAGAGCACATGTTCCGAGAAAATAATTTTCCATTTCTTATTTTAACTTGCCTTTTATATGGAATTGTTTGGCCAACCTTTTTCATTTTTCTTTTTTAAAAACAAAAAGATGGAGTTATTGGCATCGGCATTGCTGCAACTGCGGTTGGGCTTGTGGCTGGTGGCATTGCAGCAGCAGTATCAGCCCGCAAGAAGTGATTAGCACGAATAATAAACTGTTGAGTTTTATATAGACCCCTTTACTTCGGGATCTTTATCTAGGAATCAGTAAAATTTCTAGGTGGTATATACGAAAGTTTTATGTTTCCCTGTACATTGCTGCATCAATTGGCTACGCGTTATTATTTTCCTCCTGTAAACCGTGACTAGATTCTCTCCTTATATGATTTCTCTATGTGTGCTTATGTGCCTATAGCTTTCGATAAATGTAGAGTGAAAAGTCGTGTTTCATTCTTGATGTTGTGTTCAGTTTGGTTTAAGTATTAGATGGAGTTCAGCTTGAAAAGTTACTGTAGGTGCATCTCTTAAGATAAAATAATAAACTAACGGAAAGGACAAGAACAGAGAATAAGATTTGGTACAGATAAGGAAATTTTAAGAGTAGAAATCACATGAGATTCCAGATTATGTTAATTTGCTGAAAAATGCTACATAGCCAATCAGGTGTATAACCGGGTTGACAACACAAGTGGAAACATTAACTTGTGTATTTTTTTTTTTTTTTTTTTTTTTT